TCGAACCCGGGCCGCACGCATGCCAGGCGAGCGCGCTACCGCTTGAGCCACATCCCCAGCCCAATTTATTTATTTTTATATGATGCTGAGGATCGAACCTAGGGCCCTGCACATGCTAGACGAGTGCTCTACCACTGAGCCACAACCCCAGCCCCTCCCATGGTAATTCTATGCTTAATTTTTTGAGCAACTGCTAAATTATTTTCTATAGTGGCAGAACCATTTTACATTTGTACCAGTAGTATATGAGGTTTCCAATTTCCACTTCAGGGATTTTGTTCTTGTGCCATTTTTCTAGGCAGTACTTCTGATACTACTTCCTCATTTCCTTCAAATTTACTCAAATGTCTTCTCAAGGAGGTCTGCCTTAATGGCAACCACTCACCCAACCCTCAACCCATATATATACTCTTGTTCCCTACTTAATTTTTCTCTATAGATCACCATTCAGAATACTATAAAGTTTTCTTTTTTTAGTTATGAAGGATGTTTTCTATTTTTAAAATTTTTATTGATACACTATAATTATACATTAATAGTAGGACTTGATGCCATATATTTGCACATTACTTACATTCTTTTGTATTTCTCCCCACCACTAAAATGTAAGCCCCAAGAGAGATGATTTCATCCTGTATTTCCAACACCTAGAACAGTGGTAGGTATATAGTAGATAATTATTTGATGAACAAAGACTGAAGAAGTTGTTTTGTCAATGTGTCACAAAGGGCAAGAATCTAAATCTGTGTATAAGTGGTTACTTTTCTAACAATGGTGATGAACTTAAATTAAACATATAACTTTTAGTCAGCTAAAACAAAAAGCCAGTAGGTAGGTATGCAAGAGATGGGTATTTCTGAATCAAGATGAAAAAACTATTTAGGATAGCCTGAAGATAAAGAGGGATCAGAGGCTGGGATTGTAGCTCAGTGGTAGAGCACTTGCCTAGCATGTGCGAGGCACTGGGTTCTATTCTCAGACCACATACCAATAAATAAATAAAATTTAAAAATTCATCAACTAATAAAAATATTTTTTAAAAAAGAGGGATCAGGGTGACAAGATAAAATTCATTAGTACCAATTAAAACACAACTGTAACTGCCTATAATAAGTAAGGTTAATATTGATTGAAATGTTTTAAACAAATTAAAATGCTGTTACATGGCACAGAACTTTAAGAGTATTATATGTGTATTTTGAATCTTTATTAACAGTATTATATTTTTAAGAAAATACCCTGATATATAAGAAATAGAATTCTATGGAAGAACACAAAGCTGTATCCCCGTACCTAATGTACTGCTTATAGCATGTGGTGTTTCATGTTTCTGAACTATTGGCAGAGAACCTACACATAAATAAAAAGAGAAGCTATCTTTAAAATGCAAATAAATTATTTCTGGGTGAACATTTAAAATTTTTAAAAAATGAGCATCATTAATTCCACTAAACTTGTATACTTATGAATCGTTAAAGTGGCAAACTTTATATCACATATATTTTATCACAATTTAAAGGTTTTAAAAAATTGAGTAGAAAAGTGGAAATTGACAAAATATCCTAGAGATACGTATGAAAATAAAAGACCAGAGTATCATGAAGTTCACTACTATGAAACAAACCACTTCTAAAAATTTTGGAAAATGATTCATTCAAAATACATTCATGAAGTTCTGATTTTGGAGTTTAAGGAAAAAAACACTCATGATTGAGTCAAATGACTTCAGAGCTTGTCCACCTTTATGTTTATTAAGATCACAAAGCGGGCTTTTGCTAGGTTTTAAAGTTCAAGAAAGTAGCCTGGTGTAGTAGTGCACCCCAGTAATCCCAGATACTTGGGAGGTTAAGGCAGAAAGATCACAAGTTCAAGGCCAGCCTTGACAACTCAGCAAGACCCAGTCTCATTGTAAAAAATAAAAAGGGATGGGGATGTGGCTCAGTGGCAGAGTGCCTTTGAGTTTAATTCCCAATAATGCAGGAAAAATGTTCAAGAAATTACTTAATAAAATATAAACAGTGAGCTTCTAAATATGCTGGGAGAAAAAGTGCAAGATGCATTCAATAGATAATGTTCTTGATCTGTAGGCCAAGCAATCAGGCTTCCATTGAGAAGCAAAGCAATCTTTCTAGTTACTTATATGATACAATCTACAGTTTTATATGAAGTTATTTATTAGAAAACAATTCTCAAGGCCCTTTAACAATACAAATTTTATTAAAAAAATAAGTAACATCAAAACTGTTCAGCAAATCTATATTCAATGTAACCAAAATAAACAAACACCAAATTAAAAAAAATATACATCTATATATATATATGGGCAAGAAACAAGTGCATTTTTTGGTCCCAATATTTTTGAATATATTATCTTTATCCAAAGGAATTACATTAATGGCTAAGAAGATATTATGTATTAGATAATCAGAAATGTAACTTTAAAATTTGTTTTAAGGTCTGAAAGAGGAGTTTTTGCCAATTCTTTATGTCTTTGAACTCACAATCCCCAAGATGTTAATGAAAGTCCCAAGATAGAGCATGTAATAATGTCTAATGAGCTGAACAAGTATCAAAATTAAGAAGCTACCAGTAGGTAGCCACATGAAATCTGTGGAGAATTATAAAGAAAATTATTGGAGTTCTTAACAAAAACAAAACAAACACAAAACAAAAGCTTTAAAGAGAAGAGTACAAAAATAGACATAACAAAACGGACATCAATAAATTTGATGAACAACATAACACCAAGCTACTAAAATTTAATGAAAAAAAATTAAATTAAAAAATCTAAATATTAGTATTGCTGAAAACTCCTAGGATTAATACTGGATAAAACTTTAAATGACAATGTGAATAGTTGTTACTTTGGAATTGTAAATTTAAAGTTCACTTTTCCAAAAACATAAAAGTAATCTTGGTTCTCTATACAACAGAAATTTCATTTTCTTTAGACTGCATGCATGCTATAGGAAGATTAAAGGGCAGCAGCCAAAATGATTCAACTTCAACTTGGATGTTGAAGCACTGATTTGATGGGCTTTTCTTGGTTAGAATCAACCCATAAGCTTAAGATCAAGAATGAAAGCCCCCAGTGGGGAGTTGTGCTCAATTTGGTGGGCCTTGAGGTCATCTCTGGCCAAATCAGCATCAGCATTATGGGAGGCCAGTCAGGTAGGAAGGGACTCTCCCAAGATCTGATTCCTTAAGGCCACAAACTAGAAGAAGTCTCACAGTCAAATAATTCACATTCCTTGGAAAGACAGAACAGGCATCAGTTGTGTCCATCGAAGGGGGACACTGTCCAGGAGTATACTGGACATTTTTTGAAATTTCTGTGTTGCTTCTGCATCTGAAAAATAGGAAAAAAATAGAACAATGACAGACAAAAGAATGAGGGAAAAAACATCTATCTGACCTAAAAATGTAAGACTTATAAGAAATTAAGAAAGCAGACAAAACAGACAAAAAAGATGAACAGCTATGTCATTTGGAATGTAATATTCAGAAGGCAAGTACAGGAGAAAAAAACACAAATTATTTTAAGCAAAGCAAGAAAAGATCATAACAACAAAAGTTATTTTTGGAGAAAGTCAACTAGAGGAAAAAAAAAACACGTTAACCTGACACAAAGATAAGGTGGAATAAGAATCTAGTGCCATCTGAAAGCTGAAAAGAGCTGAATGTCATGAACTTTGTTTAACCACCTTCATGTGAGAAAACACTTCAGAACTTTGAACTTAGGAAACTGCCTTTGTGTAAGAAAACACTTCAGAACTTTGAACTTAGGAAATTCCAACTTGTCTTGCACCAGGTTGCACGAGCTCCATAGAGCAGGAATCTATTTCAACAAGCCGCTTTAAAAACAAAAACAAAAACAAAATACTTTAATATTTTTCATTTCTATTAATTATACATTTTAAAATTACAACAGTGCTAAAATCCATCAAAGTAAAATGCACTGAATTAAAATTAAACTTACTCAGAAGTGGGTTCAGAAGTTGAGGTACTTTCGGAAACTGTAACCAGAAGAAGAGTTTTACATTTAAAATAGCATATATGAAGAATAAATTAATTTGTAATACCTGAAAGCCCATACTGGGGCTGATCAAAAGTACTAGATTAAATATCTAAAACTCAAAGTAACACTATTATATATACATACCATTCTCTATTACAACTTGGCAAGTATGAGTTTTACGTTGACTTAAGTGTTTAGCCATACGGTCTAAGCCAGAAGAATCAGTTAGGAAATCACACTTAAGGCACACAAGAGTAATGCCCCTATGGAAAAAAGAATTAGATGGTAAGAGAGACTCTTATCTTGTATAGAAATCAATACACAAGTTCAATGATTACTGCTCCACATAATATAACTTTTTATTTTATGTACCAAGATTATCATTTTCAAATTTTGTAATATGAAATATACATTTGCCGAGGACTTCCTTTGCACATTGTACTACTAGGTATCACAGACACAATTAGTGAAGAAATAGGGTACAGTCTATGCAGCCTATAATCTTGTGTCTAATTTAAGACAAAATTAGAAAGGAAATGTGAGATGGGCTAGGATTGTAGCTCAGTGGTAGACTGCTTGCCTGGCATATGTGAGGCACTGGGTTCAATTCTCAGCACCATGTGTAAATAAGTAAAATAAACATCCATTGACAACTAAAAAAAAAATAAAATGTGAGGATTTAAAAATAAATTCCTTAATGTAATTATTATCAGTTTATTAACAAAGCATAAATGTATTTTTCAAGTTCATCAGATACTTTAAATTGGAATATCCTTCCTGTATAGGAATAAAAAACAGTAACATATGGGCTGGGGTTGTGGCTGAGTGCTAGAGTGCTAGCCTAGCACATGTGAGGCACTGGGTTCGATTCTCAGAACCACATAAAAATAAATAAATTTAAAAAAATGGTAACAGAGCTGCGGATGTGGCTCAAGTGGTAGCACGCTCGCCTAGCATGTGTGAGGCACTGGGTTCGATTCTCAGAACCACATAAAAATAAATAAATTTAAAAAAATGGTAACAGAGCTGCGGATGTGGCTCAAGTGGTAGCACGCTCGCCTAGCATGTGTGAGGCACTGGGTTCGATTCTCAGCACCACGTAAAAATAAAAAAAATATATTGTGAAAAAAAACCCAGTAACATACCTTAGATTCATTCTCCCCTGAAGTTCTAGTCTTAATAGTCTGTTTTTATACCTAGCTCTTACTCAGATGAATCACATATTATCTTTGTAAAATTGAAATTGTGGGCTTCCTCCCCCAAATCATCCTTCCTGTTTGTTCTCTTTTATGGTGCCACTTCCCTGACACTGATACAAACCAGTAGTTATCTTTTCCTTAAAACATTCAATATTTCAAACATCTAGAACAGTAACAATTTATTGGGCATTTATGCTGTGCCAGGTTGAGGGTTTTAGACATATCAGCTGATTTATATTTTCTAACAACCCAGAGAAGCAGGTGCTATCATTAGCACTTTTCTATAGAGGACAGGATCAAGTTTACTTAACTACCAAGGCCAGCATGAGGTTTGAAACTGAACCCTTTGATTCCAGAGCTCATGATATTAAATATGATGTGATAACACTTCACTACCTAGGTCATCATTAAATCAGTTTTAACTACCACAATAACCTTTATCAGTCTATGCCTCATGCAACTACAACTTATCTTATATACCCAATCACAGTCTCCCTTTGGAACCCTTGATTCTACTCAAAACAACAATGGTTTCCCCAATGTTCTATAAAATTAAGTATAAATGACTTGGAATCGTTTTAAAGAATTCTAAACTCTGGATCTAAGCACAACACCATTCTCCCATGGGCTGAAGTTGTGGCTCAGTGGCAGAGCACTTGCCTGGCACGTGTGAGGCACTGAGTTTGATCTTCAGCACCACATAAAAATAAATAAATAAAAATAAAGATAAATAAAATAAAAACTATTCCTGCAGACATTGATTTTAATACCACATTATATAAACTTTGTGTTTTTACCAAAATACACTACAAGTTATCCACTGTGAATGTCTGAATGTGTACTGTATGCTTTCTGTTTCCCATTATGCAAACTTTTATTCATGATATTTCTTCCAACTAGAATGCCCCTGTGCCTCTTAGAAGCAGAAAACATCTCTGTCCTTTGAAATCAGTTGCTTTGATTGTACTTATTACAAACCTCCTTGTATTACTGTAGTTATTTTTGTTCATACATTTATATCCCTCCAATAAATTGTACATTCCTTGAAGGGAGGTACCAAGCTGGCTGCCTTCTTTATCACTATAATTTGTATAGGATCTGATATATTCTGATGTATATGTGGCAGATGTACAACAAATAATTTAAAAATAAAGAATTCATTTTAATAAAATAGTAATTACAAAAATATTATTCTATAGAACTATAAACATACTAAGTACCATATATAAAAAATTGACTAATTTTCTTTTTAAATTTGAGAACCACCCAAGTTAGGAAAAAAGCATCTCAGATCTTTAAAATCATACAGTTAATTTAGAAACCAAGCACACAAGTGAGCTTGTCAACAAAGTGAAAATCAAATTAAAATCTCATCTTCAACACTGAACCTATTTTAATTCTTTAAAAATATTCAGTAAAGGTAATACTTATTTTACTTTTTTCCCCCAAGTCACCGAATTGAGTAATGATTTAAAATAGCATGACTATGTTTTAAAAATTGAATCAAATTTCCCTCCATTTATGAGTTGTTGGTTCAACATCATCCACATGTTATTTTCAATATGTACATTAACTTCTTTAACAAATATTTTCTGAATGCCTATTACATGCCACGCACTATTCAATATGAGTGAAACAATTAAACAAGGAAAGATGGATGTAAAAGGAATTAGAAAACTGAAAAACCCACAATGCTTAGCAGCTTCTAAGATTTTGTGATATAACCAAAGTTAATTATCATTTAGAAATATTAATCAGTAATTCTTTCTGTACAGTAAGCAAGCTATGTACTTTTATTTCATAAAGAAAAACTAAGAATTTGAAAGCTATATATTAATTTTAACTATTACAATGTTTTAATGAACTCATTTCTATTCAAATATTATTAGCCTTATTTTTTGTTTTACAATGCAAATGCATGAAGATTTGATCTCAATGCCTGGCACCACTGAACCAAAGTTCAGTCAGAGATGACAGGCCATCCCTCACTATAATCAAAGAATATAGTGAACAGAATTGTATCATGTCGAGTAACAATCACTGAGGGTTTCAAATCAGGTACCCAACTATTATGTTTTTAAAAGTTACTATAATTTTTCAGTAAAAGAATGGAAAAAGATCAACCAGTTACCTGAGAATTCCTGAATGCTTCTTGAAAATATAAAACCGTTTACTTGGGTGGTTGCTATGAGAACTGGAGAGATAAAACACAAACAAGATTTTTAAAAACTTTTATTATATAAAAAGTTTTATTAATTACATGACCACATTTCAATTCTTTTCTTAATTTTTCAATTTTGAATAAAAGATCATTATTAAATGATAAGATTCTGTTGATCACTGCTATGATCTGAATTACTGTCCCTCCCCCCAAATTCACGTTAAAACCTAACCCCCATTGTGATGCTATTAGGAGGTAGAGCCTTTGAGTGGAGAGCAGAATTCTTATGAATGAGACTAATGCCCTTGTAAGAGAGACCTTAGAAAGACTCTGGCTTGCCCCTTTCACCAGGTGATGATGCAGTAAGAAAATGCTATCAGGAATGGGCCCTCACCAGAAACCTGTTATCTGTTGGCACCTTGATTGTGGGCTTCCCAGCCTCCAGAACTATGAGAAATAAATTTCTGTTGTTTAAAAAAGCCACCCAGTCTATAGTATTTGGCCCAAATGGACTAAGACAGTCATTTCTGTTTAATTCAATATTTTTATCTTACATTCCATTTTACCTGTAGTATATTTTCTAATGACATATTTCCCTGAGAACATTCTTAAGATGTTCAGTACTTCACCACTATAAAAAGAATACTCAAAGAGTTAAAAATGCAAACAGCATCAAATTAATTCTTTCAATTATTAAGAGTAAAAACAATTAAAAAGTTATTTGCTACTAATGTATTTTGCTATAATAGAAATTGCTATGAATAATAATTATTTATTTTCTAATCTTAAAACATTGGGGGAGGGCAAATAGTCCTAATGATACTAGAAGTAAATGCTACCTGAGCTAGATGATATTGCTCAATATTGATAAAAATATTTAAAGAGATTTTTGCAATGACTGGGAGAACTTTAATTTTTAATTTTTATTTTTTGCAGTACTGGGGATTGAAGAAAGGGGTACATTACCACTGAGCTACATCCCCAGTTTGTTTTAAATTTTTTAAATATTTTGAGACAGGATCTCACTTAGTTGCCCAGGCTGGCCTTGAACTTGAGATCCTCCTGCTTCAGCCTCCTGAGTCCTGGGATTACAAGCATGTGCTGCCACCATGCCTGGATTACTAGGAGAACTTTTAAAGAAAGCAAATTTAAGGAAGTGGAACTTGTGAGTTAAAAGAATGCTTCTCCTATGCAAAGAACCAAAAAACAACAATCTAAACTTTGTAGACAATGGTAATAGTTTTTATATCCTCCACCTTTTAACTCACAAGGAAAGCTTTCCTGTTAGAGACCAGCCTAGTGCAGCAACACTAAAAGTGTGGTCCATGGACCAGCAGCATCAGCATCACCTGAGATCTTATGAGAAATGCAGTTACCTCAGCTCTCCCTCACCATAAATCTAACAAATTAATCTCTGGAAGTGGAGCCCAGAAATTGATTTTAATGCATTTTCTAGCTGATTCCTATGCAAGTTAAAGTTTGAGAAGCACTAACTGTATTTTGCACTAACAGATACAAATGAGTAAACATGTCATGGCAATAGCTACCCTCAAACACAAGGTAACCACCACCAGCAAACTATGCATGCATGGGGAAAGAATCTGACTAGCTACAATCTCAAGAAAATACTCTCAGAATAGGTACCATGGTAAATATAAAGAGCTTCTCTCACAAGATAATATAGACACATATGAAACAGAATAATGAAATATTACAGAACTCAAGAGAAATTATCCCTGTTGAGTGTCAATGATCAAACACTTCACAGAAGGTGAACTGAGGGAAGGAGAGGGCATTCCAGGAAATAACTAAGAATAGGAAATTCACTTTAGATGTTGAATATGGAGAAACTATCTTGTGAAAAAGATCAATAATCTGGGGGCCTTTCTTCTGAGAATATACTTGGTTATGGTTTGGGAATAAAGGTACTTGACCTTATAGACAACTCAGTCCTATGAGAAAAAAGTTTATACCAGGTAGGAGTAAGGGTATGCCACTTACAGTAAGGTATGAGGCAAGAAAGCATAGTGCTACTAAAGTAGGAAAAATGAAAGGGACCCATAAAGCCTTTAGAGAGAACTGAAATCTTTCAGTTCTATATAAGGCTAATGATAAATAAGAGTTTAATGTGTGGAATGACAGTGCAGGTTTGGGGCTCACTGGAAGTTGGGAGCCTGTGGCCTATTGAGAATGATAAGGGACAGAATGGGACTAGAGGTCCAATGAGATATTTTGGGGCTTCTATGGAAAATGGGAAAAGAAGAATGAAATGACACATGGTGTCAGGGTTTAGAACTTAAATGTCCTCCAAAGCCCACATGCTAAAGCACTGATCATCAGCCTGTGCATTTCTTGTAGAAATAGATAAAGCAATCATGAAATTCATATGGAAAAATAAAAGACCCAGAATAGCAAAAGCAATTCTAAGCAGGAAGTGTCAAACAGGAGGTGTAGCGATACCAGATTTCAAACTGT